TAAGTGCGAACAGAGTATTGCTATTCTGATCAGATTAATTTCTACACCTGTACCAAAACTGCCATTTAATCTAGCAATTAGAGACAGAATTCTGAAATTTCAGCAATCAGTACCTAGCAAGCTAAAAAGGTACTGGAAGAACTGTACATAATGCAAGACAGAAACTGCAAGACTGATGAAGCTGCCTGATTTAAGTTCTATCTATTCCATACAGTGAAAATGCCTGTTTTTAAGACAACTTAACCTAGTATAAAATAGCATTTTGAAAGAAGAACTGCTTCTAATATATATAGCATTGTTTTTTATTTTTCTTTCAAGTGGTCTAGGTCCCTTATTGAAGGCCCATTTTTTACTTACTATTTAAGCTAACATCCATATTGTATTAGGCACTGACATATAATTAATGGCATATCTCCTTAAGATGCCACAGTTCCCTGAAACATTTAATGGGAATTTGGCAATTCCCATTTACTCTTAGCAGTTTGGTGCAGTGGTTAAAGGCATCAGGCTAGAAAATGAGAGGCTGTGAGTTCTAGTCCTGCCTTAGGCACGAAGCCAGCTGGGTGACCTTGGGCCAGATCCTCTCTCTCAGCCCTAGGAAGGAGGCAATGGCAAACCACTTCTGAAATCTTGCCAAGGAAACTGCCAGGACTAGTCCCGGCAGTCATCAGGAGTCAACAATGACTCAAGGGCCCCCAAACAACACTTACTCTTAGGAGTTATAGGGACTAAGAAAGGGGGCAGTATCTACTAAAGTTTTGCTAGTCATGCCCAGTATGTATTAGTGTAACCAAAACTAAAGATTTTCATGGGGAAGTTATGGCACAACTTAGCTAGCTAAGCCAGCCCCTTCATCCCCACTAACTTTGGCTTACCACAGCCTTCTTCATCTGTACCATCACCACAGTCATTTTCTCCATCACATTTCCAGGATACAGGGATGCACTGACTTGACAGAGGACCACAGCTGACTTCACCTATCGTACACCTTCTTCTATCTATTGAGAAGCAATTAAGAGTTTGCTTAGGCACTTTTTGAAGACTATAAGGTCTGAGGACTCAGGACAGTTGTTCAAATCAAGAGTGACCTATATGCAGGCCCACAAGCCGTTTCCTCCAACTCTCTAGTACCCCATCTGCCACAACTGTTTAAAAGCTGTAGTAGTGCCTTGGAATTCTGGGGCCAAGCATGTAAAAACTGTATTCTAAAGTCCCCAAACTTACCCCAAACTCTGCATATTCCAGCCCCACACAATGTGTCCTATTATTCTGTCTCCAAAATATTAAATGTGATCTTCAATCACCAAAAGGTTTCCACTCCTTCATTTAGATGATGGAGTTTGTGTTTTTATGACGTCTTTTCAGCTCTAAGCATGAAAACAAAGATTATCTGCTATACAACTGTAGGAATGTATATTTATTTGCCTCTGTACCCATCCAGAGGCAAATAAACCATGTATTAGCTATTTCAGGATAGTTTGGGATAATCTCTGTGGTGAGAACATTATCTCTTCATTTAATATTCTATGGATCTATTTGAAATTTGTGATGCTATACAGGCACTTAAAACAATAAGCTATTAGAAATAATAATACCAAGTAGAGATTGTTTTCTGGATCTGTCAGTAGTTTGTTGGGTTATTAAGGCATGTACATAATCATATTTAGGGGTTGCCCATCCATCCATCCATCCATCCATCCATCCATCCATCCATCCCGCAAGTTCTCAAATGCTTTTCTCGGCCTGGTATCTTCCAATTCACGTAACCAACTAATCTGAAGAGCGCTAGAATGGCGAAGGTGGACTTTCAATTGAAAGAAGGCATTGAATAATGCCATCAAAGCCTGAAACTGAATTTATTCCCACCCACCTATCTTCTGCCTTTGGGCCAGCCCAATCTAAAGAATTAGATTATAGAGGTGGAGAAAATTTAGAGGGAGTGCTTGAATTTCTGAGGGAAAGGAGGGACATAAATCTGACAATAAATGTTTACTGACAGTAGATACAGTCTGTAATATAAAGATGAAGTATGTATTGAAGCATAGGCATTTTATTTTAGTTTTTAAAAGGGAAGATGGTACAGTTGACCTGCAGCATAAATGTCAGCCTACTCACAGCATAACTCAGAACCTTCATCAGAGCCATCTTCACAATCAGCATCTCCATCACACTGCCACCTGTTTGGTATACACTGTCCATTCCGGCAAACAAAATCTGTTGCAGAACATGTCTTCTTCACTGCATAAGAGTAATATTTTGTTAAATTTGCCCACAATACAGGAAGAACTTTGCTGCACAGTTTCAAGTTATTTCAAAAGTTTCCTCCCAGAACTACTAAGGTACTCATACCTATTTGATAACAGCAGACCCAGGAGTCTGAAAAAAAGTAAAACTCATATTTTTTGCATTAATTGCTGAGACAGTTTCCATTTCTCAGAAAGTCACCATAGCCAACTTTATCCTAGTTAGTACAAAGGAGTCTGGTAGCTACTTTTTTTTTTTTTTTACTAACTAAATATTATTAAAAGGCATAAGCTTTTATGAGCTATATCTTACTTCATCAGATGCACACAATGGCTAAACTGATGTACGGTTTAAATTGGGATGAGGTACGGGGGAGGAAAGGGAACAGAGATTGGTTAAGCAGATGCAGGTTACATGTGAGACAGATTGCAATTGCCTATTCAATTAACAATTGTATTCAAAACCCATTGTGTTTGTTGAGACCTTTAGCAATAGCCCGAAACCTTTTGATGCATCTGAGTTCAGCAATCTCTCATGCAATATTGCAGTTAAACTATTTTTTAACCACACAAAACAGCTCATGAAAGGTTCTACCTTTTAATAATATTTGTTAGTTGGAAAAGGCATTATCAGACTCTTTCTAATTTTTGGCTATAGACTAACACAATTCTCCTCCTACGATGCCTAGATAACAAAGTAGTTATGTATGCTAAACATCAGGTCATATTAAAACAAGAAAGGAAAAAGCATATACTAGTATGACTTCAACCACATCATAGGAAAGCAAATGCCACAGGATAGATACTTCTATGAGCTTTTTTTTAAAAGGGGATTCATGCTCAATTCTTCCCTCTCTACCTACAATGAGAAGGAAATCATATACCTTCAATATCCTGGACTTCCAGCCACATCCTGGGGAATGGTAAGGGCAGAGCTAAGGTAGCCTCAACTTACCACACAGAACACTCTTTTGTTGTGTCTGACATCTGAGAAGCAAAGACCCTGAAGTTTTTGTAGTAATTGTGAGAAGATTTGTAAAGATATCTGCTCTGTCTGTCTAGCTCAGGTCAAACAAATGGCATTGCAAGAAGCCCAGTTCTGCTTATGGGCTTCAATACCAAGGTCAATGTGAAACTCTTGGCAGAACTAGCAGTCCTATCCTAAGGTATTCAGATTATGGCTACTATTCCCATAGTCGCTTTAGATGCTTTGATAACCCTTCTTAAAGCTGGAACTATTATTGTAATTATTATTCTTCCTGGCTGGCTGTCAGAGCCATGCTGAAGACTATCTTACTATTAGGATAGAGCTAGTTTAGCATAGTGGATAAGGCATCAGGCTGGAAACTGGGAGATTGTGAATTCTAGTCCCGCCTTAGGCACAAAGCTGGCTGGGTGACCTTGGGCCAGTCATTCTTGCTCAACCCTAGGAAACAGGCAATAGCAAGCCACTTCGGAAATCTTGCCAAGAAAACTGCAGGGACTTGTCCAGTCACCAGGAGTCAAGACTGACTCGAAGACACCAAAAAAAAAAAACCCCAACTACTAAGAGACTGGATCAGTGGTCATATTAAGCCTTACCGCATGCTAGTTCATCACTGCCATCAGAGCAGTCTTCATCCCCATCACACCGCCACACCAGAGTTATGCAACGGCCATTGTGACACTGAAATTGTGATTCATCACATGTTACTCTTGTACCTTGAATTGAGAAATAAATTACAGTTAGATCCAATAGACTTTGAAGCAGCAGAACATATCAAATACAGACTTTAGGAATGATAATTCCAGTCCTCTAGGAACTAAAGTAGACATAGAATGTTTTTTCAGGCGATTATAAAGTGATGATGCAATCATTGCTCCTAAAATGCAATTCTTCATACGTCTCAATTAATAAACCTTTATTCATTAGATTTGATTTAGACTGAGACTGACATGGTTATTTCTAAAAGTATGTTGGGCAAGTAATGCACATGAGGTAATATAAAGGAATTTGTACCACCTTACTTCATTGAGACTATATCTTTTTTAAGCAGTTTTATAAAACACTGCACCACATGTGGATGGAGGTATATGTACATACTTCTATTTCATTTATTTGCCTATACAGCAATTCTAGATCACTCCATTCCCAAGAGACTAGTAGAAGATATCTGAATGCTTAAAAAAAATAAGTTAGGTGAGGCATCAGTCTATTAAGGAACCTTGGATGCAACACTGGGGAAAAATTCTATGGGATATTTGGAGAGGCCAGAAGACTAAGTTTTTGCCAAATCACCAAAAACAAATACAACTTCCTTTCTAAATTGTAAACTTATATATACAGTACAAGGAATGCTTAGCAACCAGTCTATGACCAACTAAAAACTTGATACAGCACCTAGAGCTGAGACAGTGGCAGTGACAATTAAGGGGCATGGTTATAATTACCCTGCAGAAACTCTGCAAAACCTATTTGTGTTTTTGCTGGTCACTGATCGAATAAACATTATTAGATTATTTGTAGAAAATGCACAGAATATTTGAAAACAATACTGGAAAAGACATGCAGGTAAGAGTAGAAGAAAGTGATTGGAGTCAATTAATGAACCATTAGGATTCTGTGAATCAAGCAAAATCTGATTCAAATAATCTATTCAATTTGGAGAATCGATCTCATTCAGAAAATCAATCTGATTCAGATGTTCAAATTCAATCATTCAGATTTCCACATCAGTTGAGAAAAAGCTATTTCTTAGCATATACAGAAGCATTATCCAAAGGGCAAATAGCAAATCTAAATATATCTTCTGGGTTGTAAGAAGATTTATATTCTATAAAGCACCCCATTCGTCCTGGAATGACAGAGAAGAAATTATAGATGGATAAGAAAACTATTGTTTTTTTC